ATAATATAGATTATAGTTAACCATGTTTACATAAGGTTTTGAGGATTAGAAAGACCCAAGTCTCTGTTAGAAAGATCTCTATGTCTCTGTTAGTAATTGGCTTTGTGATTGTGAGTATGAAATCTTCCTCTTAGCCTCATCTGTAAAATAAATTAATAATACTTAGTCGTATTATATTAAATGAGACAATGTATGCGAAGTGAGAGAAAAACATAATAGGTGCTCCAAAAATTGTTCCCTTCCCACTCAGAAGGCCTGATAGAAGCTGTTAAAGAAACTGACAATAGTGGTCAAGCACACCTTTGTTTAACAAAGAAAAAATAATTAAATTTCACAAACAGTGCTTCAGCTGCTCCTTCTTAACCTAAAAAAACACACAAACAAAACAGTATTTTGCTGTTGATAATGCCATTTCCTCAAAGAGAAGGTACAAAGCTCACATTGTTTTCAAAACTGAGACTGGGAACAAGGAAGTGGAGGGAATTTAGAGACCTCTTTATCATTGATAACGCATATATTGATGAAAAGAAATGGAATATATAAACTGTAATCTCACTGTTAACACATTCTTATATAGCTGTCACCATGCAACTTCCCCTACAGAAGGTCATAAGTCAATTATATTATGTACATGATTTGGTTTTAGGTAAAGGCTACTCATCCGCAGTGAATATTTTGCAGATAGTGCTTAAAGATCACTAAATAAAGCGTAGAATTTTAAGGCTTCAGAATGATTCATCAGTTAATTATACATCTATTTAAATAGGTATCTATTTAAACTTCACCAAGTACAGGCTCATGTGATTCATCTATATTGCTAATTAAAGGTGGTGCATATAGTGTGTGTGTGTGTGTGTGTGTGTGTGTGTGTGTGTGTGTGTGTGTATAGTAGCAAAGTCCAAGGAGAAACGATAATTACAGATTTACTCAATGATCTGCCATCCTGATGCTATAAAGCTACCCATTCCCCCCACCCCCACCCACACCTAACTGAGTATTCCCAAAGAAAAGTCCTATTTAGGACTAGGCACAGTAGATTAAAATGCGACTATTAAAGCAAATGAATTGCAATGCCAGTTATATAATGAAGCCCCTGTCACCTTGAGAGCTTCTCTTCCTAGGTGAACACAAAGCAGAGAAATCAGCGGCTTTGGTAGCTGTGGCAACCACACCGCCTAGCCTGGAGAGCCGTTTCCTACGCAGCCTGTGTGCCCCTCTGGCGCTTTGTAGATTCTGCTAATGTTATGGCCTCTCAGATTCTCAACTGGGAAAATTAGAGCTGTGATCAGGAGACAAAAGGAGGTTTGCTTTGTGTCTGACAAAAGCAGGGAAACACCCTTCAGTAAAAGCAGTCCCGCTCCTAATGGCTACTACCCACAACAGCGCTACAAACAGCAAATATTTATCATGTATGCTCTTTGTTTAAATTCTGATAAGAATACAGAGCCAGTGTACTTGAGTTAACAAACCACTGCATTAGTTGTTCTCAAAGCTTGCAAATTTAAGATTAATGTAAAAAAAAAAATCTGTGTAGTACATAGACCCAGAATTGTGTGCCATGTTCAAGAGTATTTATTAGACGTTTGTTGAAGGTTATACCTCAGTGGTCTAGCACTGCAATCCAGACGCTTCTACGTAATTTTTTCAACAAAACAAAATATAATGTTCATAAATGAACGAGTTTCACATTTATTTTTGTCTTCTATATCTTTTTAAATTTTTTATCTTTTTCTACATATTCCTGAGACAAGAGGAAAGCCTACCAGACAAAGTAAAAAGGAAATACTCTTCCTGAGCTAAGGGGTCCATGCTGATTTGTCAGACGTTTCTAGTTTACTGACCTCATCACTGCTCAGGAGAGCAAAGCAGGTACCTGCTGGGTCCCTGCAGCTTCATGGAAGTGGAAGCCTCACATCCATGTTACAGAGACTGAGAGGTACTGCATAGAAACCATTCTCTCTTCCTTCCTATTAACAGAATCCCTACATTTGGATGAACACTGATGTGAATGTTGTCAAGATTACATTTCCCAGCTTCCCTTGCAGAAAATGGTGGCCTTTTTATTGGGCAGCACTTCCAGAAAAACTTTTTAAAACAGGCTGGCCATTTATGTCCTTACTTCTTGCAGAAGCTACTTCTGCAGCACTTTACATCATGAAGTGTAGGACCAGACCCAAGGGGCTAAAGAATGAAGAGCCACAAAGAGCCAGTGTGGCAACTGTGAACTCCCTTCCTCCTGACATCTCATTGCACAACAAATAAATAAACATCTGCCGTATTCCAGCCACTGTATTCAGGTCTCTGACATGTCACTAAATGCACGTCCTAACAAATTCAACATGAAATAACCATAGGTAGCTGAAAGGGTTAAACTATGTGTTATGAACTTTCAATGCTTTTATAATTGAGATGGGGGGCGGCGGCTACGCAAAAAAGCTAGGGAATGAATGTTTAATTATTAAAGCAGATCTCATGGAGGAGATATAAACAGACTAGAACTTGAACAGATGTGGGATTTATCTTAATGAAAAGTAAAAGAAGGATGGCTTAAAGATACAGGTGGATGATGAGAGGTCGGAGAACACTAAATAGCCTGGACTGACTGGAGCACAGAAGTCACATCAAACCTTGACACACAAAAATTGGGTTTTCATTTGATAATTAACGGAGAACAGTTTAGGTCCTTAGAAACTGATATAATGAAAGAATTATTTTAAGAAAAATTATTTGTTTGGAAGATGCAGGAAAGAAAAGAGCAAAGGAAGAAGAGGAGAACACTCTGAAAGCAATGACAGTAGTTCTGAGGAGAAATGAGGTTGGGGCTAAAGTGATGGCGCTGAATAGACAGCCTCACTCAGGGGCAGAACACAGGCCCTGGAGGAAGTGAAAGTGTCAGGGTGCTGTATAAACAGAGCGGGTGAAGCCCGCGCTTTCAGAGGAATGTAGGCAGGGAGTTCACCTAAAACTTTGCAGAGAGAGACAAAATAAGAATGAGGAAACTGTGCCAAGCTATGTTTCCAAAGGCAAGGTGAACCATATTTAGCTGGAGTTTGACCGAAGAGTCAAAACAAATGGAAGTGTGCATGCACTACTCCCAGAGGTCCTGGCAGTAGGATTCCCACTGATGCTAATAAAAGTAAATAATCCACATACAAATCAAGCAAATGGTAATTAGAGGTGGACTCTCAAGTGGTCTAATTATATCTGTACCTTGGAGAAAAGACAGGAAGAGTTTAGGAGGGCTCTGTGAGGCAGATCAAGAGGTTCTGACAGAAATAATTCTAGTCATGTAGCAAAGGGTTCCCAGGAGCCTGCACATTTGAGACAGTGTCTGGGTTCTACTGATAATAGAGGTTGTCCCATAATTATTGACCTGTTAGCTGAGTAATAAATCATGTAGCTGCACATTCACTCCACCTTGCCACTCCTCAGCATCATTGCCTGGGTCTTGGAAAAGAGTTCCCTCTAGGAAGTGGTCTGCTCTTCTTAGCAAACCCCGGAGGACAAGGTCCGCCTAGGGTAAGAAGTAGAGCAGGCAATCACCCAGAGTTCTGGTAATCAGTGTTGAATAAAAGGAAACGGCAAACAAACAAATAAAAAACTAATGTGGGAAAGGGTTATTAACAACAAAACATTATGTCAACCATTTGGCAGTTTTACCACTATATTGATACTGCATAAATGTTGAGGTAGCTAAAAAAAAATCAGAGTAAACTTAGACCTGTTTTCTCCCTATATATCAGAATTTTAATTGTTTGCAATGTCCATCATCAATAGAACAGCTAGAATAGCATGAAGTAGAAAGAGAAAATAATTTGTAAAAATATGCATTAGCCATAAAAAAAAATTATAGCCCAAAACTTGAGACTCTTAATTGGACGAATATGTCTAAAAGACCTTCAAGAGTTACACCAACATACTAGTACATATAAAGAGGATGTTCATTAAACATCATTAGAACCAGGAAGATTTAAAATAAATTATTACATTAACTCTCTTTTCTTTTAAATTTTCACAGAAATTCCTACTTTTTGATGTTATTAACACCTTTTTTTCTATTTCAAAACTCTTCTACAAATCACATTTTCTAGTTCACTTTTACTAGAGTGACAAAGTTCTAGTTTGATAGGCAATATTTTCTACGAACAGCCATAATATAGATCATCTGCCTAAGTAGTATTTACTATATGAGAAGCAGCACCTAGACAAGTGGTGTAAATGCATGGTGTAATAACTATATAATTTCTTATTCCCAAATAAAGATTTTATTAAATATAAAACATTATAAGTGGGGATATTATGAACTACATGAAGAATCCAGAGGTGATTCTGAAGCTAGAAGAAACATTATTTTCATAATAGCAGATTTTGCTGCATATTTGTAAAGTTTCTTCATTCTACGCAAGAGACTTAAATTAAATCTGTCCTTGGCTTTCCATCTTTTCTCACATTTCAGTCACTGAGTGACTGACTAGTGAAACTCCTCTTCCAGATGGCCCATGTGGGCTGGGTCAAACTTTGATTAGTCGAATATTAATTCCCTCAAGGCAATATGCAAATGAAAAAGCATATTTGGAAAGCCAAAGCCACAGTGAATAATTCCAACAATAATTTTTTTTTCAACTATGCCAAATAAATCACCCTCAAAATATGCCATTCTTTCAAAACTGGAAAGTTATTAATGGATGAACATCAGCATTTGAACAATGACTTTTGAAAATGTATATTTGTGCTCAACTCTCCACTTTCAAATGCAATATCATCTCTCTCACACACACCTACACACACACAGTATTTTAAAGGGATAATTCTGAAGTAATCAAGAAAAAATTTAAAATAAAAATAAACATTGGGAGAACAGAAAAAACAGTCAAAACAAGATTGGAATTTAAATTGACTGTGCAGTTTATATTTTTAATGTAACATTTTGAATTTGTAACATGTATTTCAACCTTAAAAAAAAATTAAAGTTCTCCACTGAAACATCTCGCCTTTCCTCACTCCTGTCTTCCATCTGCTCAGGATTTCTAGGTGATTTCCACTTCTCCTCTAGTTCCAGTAAAATCCTGTGAGATTAATGGTAAAATAGAAAGTACAGAAACAGATGTATGTGTGTAAACTCACACATACACGCATATAGAAATTTAATACATGATATAGAGGACATTTCAAATCAGGGGGGAAGGATTAACTATTTAGTAAAAATCCTTTGGATCAACTGGCTAAACATCTGGAAAAAAGTTATTCTTATTTTACAGCACAGAGATGTGAATAAATAAATATATTCCAAGTGAATTAAAGATATAAACCTTAAAACCATAAAGTTAGTAGCACTAAATATAACATGACTTTTATCATCACCTTGGGGTTAGCAAGAATATTGAAAGAAAGCCAACAAATATAGAAGGAAAGACCACCAAAAATAGCTACTTACGTGTTTAAAATTTCTATTCAAGAAAAGACTCTATAACAGAAGTTAAATTTCAGAAAGAAAATATATATTTGCAACACATACAATAGGGAAAGGCTTAATATTCAAAATATATAAATTATTCCTGCTTCTATATTTATATAAGAAAAAGAAAACAACCCAATAGAAATATGAGCACAGGTTACAGAAGAGCAATTTACAGAAGAAATACAAATGGACAATAAATATTCTTTAAAAGATGCTTGGCCCTACTAAATATATTAAAAAAGGTACTTTAAACAAACAAGATACAAATTTTTATCCTTTGGGTTGGTAAAAAATTAATGAAACTAATATCAAGTGTCAGTAATAGAGCGAGGAAATTTTCAAACTCATACCTTGGAGGTATAAATAAACAAGGTGTGTGTGTGTGTGTGTGTGTGTGTGTGTGTGTGTGTGTGTGTGTGTGTGTGTGTAGATGGAGAAAATTATACGTACAAGAATTCCAAGGAGGTTAAGAAAGCAGGCCAAGCTGTGAAGAACCACACCCCACACACCTGCCAAGAGAAGCAGTTGTCTCAAGAGATTGTATGACACTTTTAAAGTGACTTCAGGACCTTGGGGGGTATCAAGCAGCAGGCAGCTGGCCTTTGCAAACACTGGGACAGAAGTGGGACCAGAGAGAGGGCAGAAGACCAAGGACAGAATGGGGAGTGGGAATAGCATTTATTATGATTTCTCTTCCCTTCGAGGGGGTTTCAAAGCTGAGTATTTGAAGTATGGTTGGCTTTTTGAAGGAAAACACTGAATGGGGAGCAAACTTCGCACGCAGATAAAGCATCGCAAAGGATGGGAAGGGCTGATTCATAGGGAAGCTTTGAACCACCACAGATTGGAGTGTGGTTCAAGTCAGGAAATCTCTAGTTTTAAAATTTAAAACAGTAATAAAAAATTAAGGATACTATGTGTATCAACTATAAACACTAAATGTTTATATTTGAAAAGAGGAAAGGTCTCAAATCAAATTCCACCTTAATGAAATGGAAAAAAAAAAAGAACAATATAAACCCAAGGTAAAAAGAAGAAAGGAAATAAAAGCCAGAGTAGAAACCAGTAAAACGGAAATTTGGAAAACAGTAGAACAGATCAATGAACCAAAAGCTGGTTCTTTAAAATAATAATAATAATAAATAATAATAATAGTTAATAATAATAATAAACCTCTAGCCACACTGATCAGGAAAGAAAAATGAAGAGACACAAATTACCAATATGAGGAATGAGAGAGGTGATATCACTAGAGTCTATAAATAATAAAGGAAAATTAGGGAATATTATGAACAATTTCATGCCAATCAATTTGATAACTTAGATGAAACACATCTAATTTTTGTCTTATTTTTTAAGGCATCCCTCTGGAGACCCTAGTTTTCTTCTTTGACTGGTTGTTCCCTAGGGCTGCTTTGTTGTCTTGGGAATTCTTTCCAACACCATCCTGATGATTACCTCTTCCTTCTTCCCAGGCTCAATCCCATTCCCTGGACTGCATCTTCTCTCTCTCCCTCCCTCCCTTCCTCCCTGCCTCCCTCCCT